ATGAACTGATTGAACTGTATATTAACGATTTTCTTCTAAATTTTTTACGTATTTCCTGCATCTTCTATGTCAAGGATTTTTCCTTGAATAAAATTAGAATATTAATTTGAAAACTATTACGATACTATCGAATGATTTCATAATTAAGCTAATGGGAGATCGAAAAGACTGCGTTGAGGGTTGTATAAAATTGCCAAAAAAAGAAATGGTCGAGTGGCCCGATATGCTATTAATAGTACGAACGATTCTGTGATGGTAGATAATAATTTAGTAAAAGTAACAGATGTGTTTTAATAAAAGCAGACGTCGCGAGGAGACGCTGATATGGGCTATCCGATAACATGGTGGAGTCAATAAAAAGATATGATTAATTTCAGGCGAAAATCCAAGCCTGATAACTGCCAAGAATAATCTACAATAATCTACATCATCATAAGTTACGACACTGAAATCCAAAGAAACATAAAATCCTGATTTGAAAACTAAACAATAATGTATCTGTGTATATGGAATATATGTATATTAATTCTATATATGCTTTTATTAAATACAAAAATGTACGATGAATAAGTAAGTATATAACATAACAATACATGTATATGTGTCATATACATATGTATACTTGTATACAAATATGCCATATAATTTTACATATTGCACCATATAAAAAGTAGCAAATGCTTTCAAGAGGATTTGTGGAGTAGGTAAATAGTTCCTTAGAACAGATAAGGGGTTGCTTCGAGCTGGCAATATCTTATATTTATCTAGCTATAAATAATAGTGTGCTTTCACGTTTGACACGACGAACGTCGTTTAATTAACGAATAGACGTACGTACGGAACAGCGTTACTATACATATAACTTTCACGAGTCGTCTTCATTCTTTTTCCCGTTTTATACTCCTATTTGTTCGTTTATTCCCTTCTCTCCTCCTCTCCTCACCTTTTTCCTAACTTCTTTCTTTCTTTTTAGATTTAATTCCTGATTTATTGTTCTATCGACTCTAGCATTTCAACTAATTAATAATTTATATATTTACAATAGATAGGTACATGTTAATGCAATAAGCAATAAAAGTTATACTAATTAAAAAAAAAACTAAACTAAAACAAAAGAAGTAACTGATTAAGAAACAGAAATAATGTTGCGTTCAAACATTTGTATTTAAACACGGTTGACGCTTGATACTTGCTTATCGCTTATCGCTTCTACAAACGGAGTATCCACTTTTACCGCATCTACGGTTTCAACTTATTGCTTTAAAACTCGTGACAAGTTATTCAATAATGTTGCATGTGACTTTACACACGGTTTTGCGCAGCGTATATATTTAAATATGAACTTGTTTAAAAACAGTTTTAATTACATAATACTCGCCAACAAGCGTGTATATCATGAATTATAAACTACTTTTTTATCGCTTGAAGTATAAAGCGAAATAATATATTGGCAATGATTAGCTAAATTTAGAACTAAAATGATAAATCAGATTTACATGCTAGCATGTTCGATGTTACTTTCTTGAAGAGATATTGGAGAATTAGAAAGCTTTGAAACAATTTTCTTACGTATGTACATACATAGATGAAACGTTTGTACTGTGTACACATGAAAATCATTCTAGTACGTGAAACTCGACCAAACTAGAATATATTTTATCAAATAAGCTCGAGTATGAAGATTACTATTTCGATTAAATTGTTGATCCAGTTAACATGAAATTTTATACTGTACACTAATGTGTAATGAAAATTAAAATTTACAGCAAATAGAAGTGTGATCTTTCTCACAAAATATTTAACATTTATTTGGTAAATTGTTGCTGAAATTGATCAATTATTTACACGAAATTGTAGCGCACAAATTCCGGGAGTGAGATAACTAATTCAGGCCACGATTTACTGCCGCCATCGTATCTATCCGACTCACGAGATGTTACACCAGCATTAATATGCGATCAGCCATCAGATAATGATAATGGATGATAGTAAGTTAAACATAATAAGGTAATGGCCTAACGAAGCTCGGACTTTGCGTTCCCTCAATTTAAATAATTAAATATTGTTAGACCGTTGCTAACTACATCCAATTTGTTCAAATCTAAACTTCCTAATCATTATAAGTTATACTTCACGTGAACATAAAAGAGCATATCATATTGTTTATCAATCTCGAATTTTCAAGTTTATAAATCCAAGTATAGAAAAGTATCACAGACTAAATATAATAAATATTATTAATACCTTCCATAACTTAATAATTATTTCCTATGCAACCATGAAAAGAATTGTATTCATTACTTGAAACGTTCCTTGCCTGATCATCCACAACTGCTACTTTTTAACTGACTTTCCTTGGTTATCAGACAGTTTAATAATTAAGAAACTTTGTACACCGATTGCTCAATTCCCACGTAGGCGTGGCGCGAATAATATCGCAAAGTAAAAATGGAAACTAGATAGACGAATAAAAAGAAAGGAAAAAAAGGGTCAGAAAGAAAATATTCCGAGAGCCCGTTATGGCAAAGGTCGTCGGTGGTTCGCAAAGGTCGGAATAAACGCATCGCGTATAGAACTTCGCGGGAATGACGTTATCGCGTAGACCGGCGTGGAACGCCCCTGCATTGACGTAAATCCAAGGTTAATATGGGTCTCGAATCGAACGCCTACAGGTAATGTAGGCAGAGAGCCCACAACTCGAGAGCAACGTGCATCCACCTGTCTCGCTCGTATCAAAAACCTACTAACAAAATGTAAATAACAGAAAACAGTTGTGTCCTAGCCAATAAAACTCTATGACGATTTTTAATATTGCATACGCAAATTTCAATGTTTCATATTAGTAGACTATCAATTTTCATGTATGGTGATAAATGGGAAGTATCGATCTGAAAAATGAATTACCTTTTTATTTCTACCGTACTATTTTATCCTCTCATGCATTTTTCAGTTTATATTCTTTACACTTCTCACATAATTAAATTTCTAATAAAATCTGCGTGATATTATTACTATTGTTGCAGTATATACGGTATATATAAAACTCTTCAATTTAAAATTGATATAGAAGAGGTGAAAATAATGTGCGATAAAACAAAATTAAATAATAATAAAAATAGAAAGTTCGTATAGTAAATGTGAATAGAGATCGGAAGAACTTTAGCATAAAAATCCATAGGCTAATAAGATATGTATTTTGAAATTTACGTATGAAACAATAAACTTTGAACATCGTACACGATCGGAATATTGTGCGCGTTGAATTATATGGTTTAATTGAATGAGTCACGAGTTCGGAACTTCGAATGAAGCACGACGGTATTTATCAGTAATGAATCGTATCTGTTACTTATTGAAAATTTCTTGAATCTTTCCACCCTGCAGTCCATAACATGTGGGGCACATTGTAAAACATATAAGCAAATGCAATATATTATAAGAATATGAATGAACGGTGATTCTCAATGATTAAGAAAGAGCATTCACTCAATCAAAGTGAAGTATCTTATATCAATTCTAAATCAGAATTGAATTAATGGGTATAATACTCTTTCACTTGAAATAAATAGAATTTAATTGAAACTACTGTATAAGCTGTTTTACAATTTACTACATGATTTGTTGTATGCTGTTATATGAGTTGTCATACGATTTTATCGTTAATTGTACGATTGCGTTTATATCATTTACTACAATCTTTCTGATCTAGAATGTTTATTAAAAATTGCTGATAAACAACAAGATATACCAATTGACTTCATACAACAAATAGACTTAGATAACAGGAAGTTATACAATTTAACCACATTTCTAACTTGTGTATTGTAGACCATCTATTGTTATGCATTAACTCGAGATAGCGGATCAGTAAAAATATTTGGCAAATAGTTACAAGACTCGGTAAACGGTGATCGAGACACTTTGTAAATGAAACTCGGAGGATAGGTGCAAAGAGCGTGGTTGTATTTCATTACGCCCGCGCGTCGATTCCGAACCTGTGTAGCAGAGTCTTGACCCGGCAACTTGCCGAGTGCCGCTTACCCGCTATATGTATACTACACATAGTTTAGGTGTTCTCAATCGTGTGACCCTCGACGACCACGTTTCTGGTTCACTCACACGTAGTTCGATAGAGAAACGCTTACCCCCACCTCGTTACATTTTCCATGAGAAATATTTTAATATAAAATCATCGGCAATGGTACCAATCATTACCAAAGTGATTCGATATGAAATCACTTATAGGTGACATTGAGAAAACAATCACTTGATGTAAGACTTGACGTGAATTTGTTAACAGTTTGTAAATTCTTGTATTCTAAAATATTCGTTCATATTATCCTTTGATCAATTCAGTAGTGAATGATAATGTATAATCATTGCTGATGCAAACACTTCTACTTACATAGTAAAATAACATTAACGATTATTAAAACTCGATTTGGTATTAGATATCTACAAGCATCAAAGGTAAACTATACATATATCTTGCAAGGGTTCGCAAATCATTAATCTTATTCCGTCGGAAACGGGAACTACACGAAATGACAAGATCGAATGTGAATGAAAATATATCAAGAATATAATAGATGAAGAAACAGTAGGCAAAATATGTACATTTTCTGCATTCTATTCTAATGAAATATATGTATAACTCCGACTCTCAAACTTCCTTAAAATCTGTATATCTAATATTGATTTTCGTATTGCTATTGAGGTCAAAAGTCTCTTGATCAAATGTAACACATAACATGCACAAAAATAACTACATGAAAACAAAATTCAAAACACTACTGGGTATGCAATGGAATATATAAAACAATTATTCTCTCGTTTTCATTTTTAAGTGTTCTTATGCAATGCTACATTACTAATGAATGGTAAAATATTTGCTGAATTTCGTTCGGAGATACTTATAATTCACAATCGTTAAAAGCAGAATTGGCGCGAGCCAGCGTAGGTGATGGCTCGCGACGTGAACGAACTAGCAAATGACTCACCACGTGAACGCTGGAGAGACCGACCGGCTCGCTCTGCTTCTTATCCGTCTTCTTAGCCTGCCGCTTCGCCTTGTTCTCTAAGAAACGTTGCTTCAACACCAACGTGTCCTGGATATTCTGTTCGCAAAGTCCGTTGAAACTCTGATCGAAGCGCGGTATACAATCCGTTTGTCTTCTCCGATAACCCTCGATCCTGCGTCTCAGACGATCAACGACCGCCTGTCTCTTGGGGGTGACCACCTCACCCATGCCAGGTGCTTGACCCATTTGTTGCTGCAACTGCAGCTGCTGCCCGGTCACGTTTAACTGGCCGGCGTTCAGATCGTGGATGCCCGATTGGCCGAGCACGTTGCTCTGCACGTTATTTACGTTGTTTGCGTTTGGAGCCTGGCCCACACAAACCGAAATTGGGCCAGGCGCTGTGCCGGGGGGGCCTTGCGGGGGCTGGCGGGGCAGGAGCCCCCCGGCCTCCATACAGCCCCCTAAATCCACCGCAGGGTAAGCCAGCTCAGTGAGAACCTCTGCTACCGAAGCGCCTGACGCACGCTACTGCGACCTCGTCTCCCGCCCGAGACCCGTGCATCCTCTGCCACCCTGCCAATACGATGATCCTCAACTTCCGGTCAAGACGCATTTGGAATACGCGCGAACTGAACGGCTCTTTCTTTCTTATCAACCGCAGACGCAGAGTGTCGATTGTCCGATCGATAGTCCGATTCAATTACACACACGCTCACACACTGTTCACGGTAATCTCGATAAGAGAAAACGTTCCACTCGCGGCGGCTCCTCGAACAATTAACCGCGGTCGACGTACCACTGTAAACAAAGTTCGGTCACGACACTAGCCACGCACCGATGTTAAACAAAGTTTAGCCACTGTCCGGTTGTTGACATCGCGGCGTACTACGATATTTTATTTCCAATGCCACGTGACTGAACGGTATACCGTGAAGTCCGTGTCGTTCCGACGAGACGAGTCACCGTTCAGCCTCCAACGCTCGCCGATTCCACCACGATACTTTTTATATCGGTACAACGCGGAACGCCGTGTTTCCCTATGAGTGGCACGTGCACCACGGCTTTGTTAACTCGCGACGACGCACAACTGATCGTGCTTTTCTCCCACGGGAAAGAACTTTTCGAACTGTCACTCTCGACGAGACGCGCGCGAAGATTCGACGGTAGGACGGAACGTTCACCGCGCGCGACTAAGTTCAGGGCCTGAGATCGCGGCGTATACAAGAGCCGCTCAAGGCGCCCTGGCATCTGGTGGCTGTCTTGATAATTACAGGAAATTACCGCCACGTATGAAATTTATATCCATAAACATGTCAGATTTGATTGATAAAATTCTTCGAACAGTATATATTATATTAATCAATTTAAGTAATAGGTCTTTTGTTGATGAGCGTTTTAAAAAACTATATAATTATTCAGTTAACGAAATGAAATATAAATATTTATATTGTTTGTTTTTTCTAATGTAAACCAAGCTTTTAAGAAAGATCAAACTAACAAATCGTTATGTTTCGAAGCTAATCCGCAAGAGTTTGTCACGATTTATTTTGGTGATAATCAGTACAAATTGACGTATCGATGAGAGTTAATATGCTTATCATTATAATTAATGAAAGAAATCATACGTACAGTTCACTCATTAGTAGAAAAAGAGATACCCATACACAGTTAACAGTGACCCTCGGCAATTATTATGCAAATTGAGAGTCAATATCGGTTCATAATGAGTCTCCAATGCCCTCTTCAGTTTCCGAAGCCTAACTATAACTTCTAAGAGCCTCTTTCTAAAGTCCTTTCTCCTTTTCTCGTTATTCCCTTTTCTAACACGAGTGACGGGAAGAAGAAAATAGTGGGAGTACGATGAGTCTTTCGTGATTTGATATCAGCCACGCTTTGGCAACAGAAGACCTTCTTACGTCGACCATGAACGAAAGGTGTACAAACCGAAAACAAGCACCGCACGCCGCGTCCGTGTCCTCTTTCTCTCTCGATTGTTCGGATGCGTACTCGACTGCGCGTTGAACGTCACAACAGGTAGTTGAGGACAGCATGGTCTTCTCGTGAAAGAGAGGGAAAGATCGATGGAGTAAGAGAGATCGATAGATTCACGAGTGAAGAAAGAAAGCACGGCTTCGGCGGTGGGGAAAATCGGTGGGAGAGGAATATACTAGAAGGGGAGAGATAAGTAACTGAGCAGGGAGGGGTTCCAATGTTTGGTCGGATTGCCGGATACCTTCGCGCCGTGCCTTTGCGCAACTGGCTTTCAATCTAACATCCACGAGACGGGTTGCTCCCGCGTTCCCTCATTTCATTCTTGCCTACTTTGCCTGTCTCTTTCACTCTTACGTTTGTGTATCTTGTCCCCCTCTTTCGGGCACTTGCGATCTCTGGCGTACGAACACGAACATGTTTCTGTACTCTATTTAGAACTATATATTTTCAAAAATCGTAACTCCTAGTTTCATAAGTAATAAAATTATAGTTTTAAATCTATCAGTATTTATATTTTTTTCGTTACGGGATTAAA